AAAGGAAGAAAAATTGCAAAAAAAAAAAATCCAACAAAAAGAAGATGAAGAGTCAAGTGTTAACTATTTAAACCTTCTATCTTTTTCCATTGTTGTTTTGTTTAAAGATTTTTTTAAATCCAAATTTTGGTTGCAAGATATAGTTACTTGGATTTCTTTTCCTCAATATGAATAGGCATATGATTTTAACAACCAATTTTTTTCTCCTAATTATGTTACATCTTTTCTTTTATTTTGAAACACTTTGTTACTAAAGTTTTAAAAAATATATATAGGAGTAAATTAATTGCTAAGGATATAGAATATGTATTTCTTGATAACTTTCAATCGATAAAGAAGATTAGAAGATTAAAGTGCGAATATGTAAATTGTGAAATATTTTTAGTTTGAAATGTAATTGAGAACATTTGACTACTAAAATAGTTTTAGCCAATGAGAAGGTATTTTTATGAGCTATTACATTTGATCTTTTACGCATTTAATGATCTATATTAATAATAGTTATTTGTTTGCACAAAAATTTTATTCATGCTATAATTTGAAGTTTTGATACTTTACAATTTAAGGATAAATTGGTTAAAGGGAATGTTTATTACGTGAAAAATTTTTCTATGAAAAATAATAAGAACACCTATTGTGTTATCTCTTATAACAATTACACGATCTAATTCCATCTTGATTTTATTGTCAAGATATTAATTGAAGAAATCACAGCAATCTTGAGATTTATATTTGAATTCACTAATTATGAGAACCTATTTGTGAAAAAGAATAAATGTCTGTGGTATTATTTTTTTTATCTTAAAATAACTTTATTAAATGAATGTGTGATCCTTTTTTATTAAAAATAATTTTGTTAAAAATTTAGATGTTATCGAAAGTTTAGTCAGTGTTGGACTCCACAAAAAAGGCAAGCAAATAGTAGTGATGTTATCTGCATAGAGTTACACATTGAAGATCAAAGGTAAATCATATTAAAGTTATTGTATGAAATCTATTTGAATTTTATTTCTCTTTACTTGAATAAAATATGATATTTGATTAATTAATGGTATATGGTTGTTTGATATTATTTTATATGTATTGAGGCAAAAACTACTTGAGCATAATACTTTGGTCTTCCATAATGAATCAATTTGAGCAAATCAGATTTTTTAATAACTTAAATGTGAAGGTTATTATTTTTTCACATTTATGATCATTAAGGATAATAAAAGTAAGTATATAATAAAATTTATAGTTTTTTTATTAAAAAAACACAAATTGTGTATCTTAATTTTTAAATAAATCATTTTTTATACTAGGAGTTCTATTATGGAGCTCTAAATCTATAAAAAATTTATATAGATGATAATTTTACTAAAATAGCTGCCCTAAAAAGAAGCATTAAGTAAAAGATAATGTAATTTTATAAATTTAAAATTATTTAAGAAATTAACATATATAATTTTGAAATGTTATTTGTAACGAAGCAGAATTAACTCTCAATGTCTAACTAATCATAGCATGAAATAATAGCAATGATATGAAAAATGTTACACATAATGTTATAATATATGATATGTTTAGATATTTTTAGAATAATGAAAAGGTTTTTTATTGGATATATTTTTTTAAAAAAAATTAATTGGTAGTTTATTTATTTTTCTTAATAATTATTTATTATTTTAGGAGAAGATATTTTTAATAAATGCTAAAATTAACAAAATTTGTATAAGAAATGTATGGTGGTATGCATCGTGCGGGTTAGACAGCAAGAAAAAGGTCTCTTAGAAAAGGACATATGTGTGGTGTATTAAATGTTTAAAAAAAGTTGAATTACCAATACTCAAGTAAATATATAATAATGAAAATAATTTTTCTTATTTTTTAGTTAATTAATTATTTTTTTCTTTCTACTCAAATCTTAAGTTATCATTTAGAATTAGTGGTTGGTGATAATAGTGGGATGACAATTTTTATTTTATTTGATGATATTGCGCTGAATTAATACAACTTAGCACGCAGAAATAGTTGATAAACATAGTATTATAAGTATTTTATCAGTATAATTTAAATTTATTGAATTTGATAGATGATGAGTGTAATACCCCAAAAAAATTTCAAGCACATTAAGTTGAGTTAGGGACCTAATGGTGAGGAAACATTATTAATGGACCTAACCGTCAATTTTTCAAAATTTAAAGGGGTCAAAAGGTTTTTGGATAAGGCCGGCTGACTCATTTCTTTTTTTCTTTTTTTCTTTTTTTTCCTTCTTTCTTTCTTCCCCAGCCACTTCGCGTGTCTGCTCTGTTCTTTCTTCCTCTGCAGCCGAACATGAACCCAGCCATTTGCAGCGCCTCCACCTGAAAAATTGGTAAGAGAACTTGATAAGTTTTGTTCTCCTCTTGCTCAAGAACCAGTCTAGGACTTAGAAACCTTCTCCCTTGCAGAAAAGCCACCGGATCTGCTGTCTTCTCCTCCTCTGCCGCCGGCTGCTACTGGGCTGAACTCCGGTTTTTCCTGGTAAAATCAGCCATGAAATTCATCTATTCTCTCTTAATTTGGCTTGGGCTCACCCTAATCTTGTTGTTCTTCCAATTTCTAGCAAACCCGTGGAAGCTCCCCTGCATTTTTCCCGCCTGCTCCTCCCATACTCGCCAGCTCCAGCTTTGCTTGCTCAGGATTTCTGGTAAGCTGGCTCCTCTAATCTCCGAAAATTGGTTGATTAAGTGTTGATTGTGAGTTTAAGTGGTTGTATGAAACGGGCTTGGGTTGTCCGAAAATTCTGTTAAAATAGGGAGGATTTCGGCAACTTGAGCATGGGTTTAGTTGATGGTTTATGTAAGAAATTGGTGGGTGTGGCTGTTGTGAGGATGTCCGAAGGGAAAAAAGGAGAATTCCGTGGCTTGGCCACTTTTTTGTCAAGGCCGGTTCTCCCAAATTCTTGTCCATGAGTTTGAAAAATTGTATACGTGTAATTATATAATTGTAGGTACATACATAAATACCCAATCCCGGTGAATGCTCAATTTTCGGATAGAAAAATAAAAATGAAAATAGAGAAAGAAATAAAATTTTTTTATAGATATTAATTCGGAAATATTGTGATTAGGTCCCTGATTGTTCGGTGACCCTAGTACTTGGAATAAGCCTTCTATCCTGTGCAATTAAGGTAAGTAAATTGTGGTAATGCACTTAAATTTTAAAGTATATTTTAACTTGTTTTTGAGATGGTGGTGAGGTTTAAATGGATTTATTTGCATTTGAGCATGATTAAAGAGGGAAATTGAACATTTATTATTTTCCTTATTTTCTAGAATTGAGTATGCCCACATAAGATTCTTCGGTTTATTTTTTTGAAAGTGAGAACGATTGTGAATCGTGGTTTTCTGTAAATCCTGCTTAGTTTTGTCTTCGATATGGTCGTGTTAATCGTGTGCCCGCTAGTGGAAGGTTTATAAACGCTAGCACATGTCAACATGTTAGTGATTGAACCGGTTTGCTCGTGTTATCCTACTAGTGGGATTATACACTAGTAAACGTGTGCCTGCCAGTGGGAGGTTTATAACACTGGTCATGACTAATAGAGGAGTCCACTGTTTGATTTTATTTTGCATTAATGGTTTGTTATTGAGACGCTCTGTTTATGATTAAACTATTTATTTGGCATGCTTTAAATTTCGATCCCGGGCATCCATATTTACTTACTGGGATTTTATCTCACGGTTTTCTTTGTCCACCATTTCAGGTGAGACCCGACGCGTGGGAAGCCCAGGGGAGTGACGAGCTAGACGGCTAGGCATTTTTTTGGATTTAGTTTTGTAGCTAGGCCGCTAGTCACCCATGCTGACTTGGAAATTTTTGTGTACAAAAGTCCCTTAGTTATAGTCATGACTGTGTAAATGAAGTTATAAATCCTTGTACATTTTGGCAAGTGAATAGTTAGAAAGGAAAGGAAATCTGAATTATCTGAATTAGTAATATAAACTTAGTAAGTTTCGAGCCTTGTGCATTGTGGGACCCGTTCTCGAGTGCACGGCGTCTATTTCGCTCTCGGTTTGGGGCGTGACAATGAGTGCAATTAATTTTTTGATGTTCCGAGAATGATGATGAAAAAAATCAACTTCCTCCAGCATTGCTCAATTTGATAGATACTACTCATATTTCAATTAAAGGCAAGCAGTTTTAGTAAAGTTGGTGGGGTTGAATCTTTTATTATCAACAAAATAGTTTTTGATTAGAGGTAAAGTATATTGTTCTTTCTTTTTCTTTTTCTTTTTTTGTAAAAATAATAAAATATAATTTATATTTCTTATTCACTTAAACTTAACGTTTATTTTATTTTTTTT